AAATGGCGACAGTATATATACCAATATCAATTGGCACAACAAGACTATGATGTGAAATCAAGTGATGTTGTTCATAAGCATGAAGTATCAAAATAACTAACAGTGAAAATAAAAATAAATAAAAACAAACACATGCATTAATGGAGCAAAATGACAAAGTTAAGTGATACAAAGAAAAAATGAAGAGATAATAAGACGAATTTTTTTAACTCGTTATATAGACTAAGGGATGATACTTTTGAGTAAAAGTTTTCAAAAATAAATTTAGATTGTTTGACATGAAAAGAGATGAAATTATAATTAACAAATAATGGCATGAAAGAAATAAATTTCTGAATAATTAAAGAAAGGTTTAAGATATGTTTCAATTACCACAAAAATTACTACATATGTTTTATTCTAGATAAATTGATGTATCTTTAGAAAAAAATGATATCAAAATAATCAAAAATTTGATTCAAAATGATAATAAAATTAATACTCAAAAACACATTTTGGATGAATATGCGAGCAACATAAATATTCTAATCAATTTTTCTAATAAAAAAAATTTGCAATGTGTTTTATTTAATTAAAAAAAGACTTGAAAACTGAACATTATCACTTTTTGAATTTCTTAGCAGTGTGAATTGATAAGATTGGTTTTAAAACAAATTGATTTTTAAAAATTATGCAATGTTGAAAATTAAAGTTGATTATATATGTTAATATAGAATGTATACTCAATAGGAAAATTTAGATAAAAATTTAAATATGAACATGTATTTGTATGAATTTTGGATTTGAATGAAGCAATAAATTAATACTTGATTGAATCTTGTACAAGGAAATGTGCACATTAAAAAAATAAAATTAACCAAATATTTGAAGATTAATTTTTTATAAAAGATTATAATCATCAAAAAAATAAAAGAGTAAAGTGAAACAAGAAAGTAGAACATTTACACAAAGATTCTAAAAAAGTAAGTAAAAGAGCCAAATACAAAAAAATTCTCAAATCAATCTTGTATACATGCAACAACAATCTAGATATTATAAATTTATGAAAATTATTGGCAAAAAGTGCAATATTCAATTGATTTTAACTTTGTACCTCATAGTTTCAAAAAGATATTTAAATTTATTTATGATGATATGTGAATATATATTCTAATTTTTTCATGTTTAGAATAGTTAAAATTTATAACAAAAATACACATGTAGCAATTTTATCTTATGTTGTGAACACAAAATAACTTTTTTTTTCATTACCGTTTAAACTTTATGATAAAATCGTGATGATGAATGTATTAATTAAACTCTTTACAAACACACAATAAAATTTTGAAATCAATCAGGTTTGTCACCTAAAAATATTTTCAAAAAATTTATTTTGGAAGTTTTTTTAAATAATTTTCATGTGTTTTATTACATATTTCTGTTAAATAAAATTGACAAAACGCAATTCTAAATCAATAAGTTATGCTTGAAAATATCCAAGCAGTAATTAATGATTGAACAATTTCAAACATAAAGTATCCAAAGAATACAATTGAATGATAAATTATTTTAAAAAGAAAAATTACGTTTCTATTCATGAAATATAATTATTCATGATGTCAATTGAGTTGCCAAAAAATTGTGTGAGTTACAATAAAATTTGATACTTATTTGCTAATTATGACATTATTACTTTGATGAGTGAAATATATATTAAGATGATAACACTTTATCATAAAACTTTTTCTTGATCATACACAAAATCAAACAGTGTCGAATCAACATTTGTGATGTATAAGTTATAATTACACTTGGCATTGAATGTATAAGTTAAAATTATGCATTGCAAAAAGGTTTGGCTTTAGATTGGAAGAGTAGAAGTTTCTGGGCACTTGCATGCTTTCAGCGTGTTGGATCCAATCGTATGTAACGATCAAGATGAAGCATTGATGAAAGAGAGACTGGAACAACAATTCGTTGTTTCCACTTTGATCAACCAACGGACGCGGGTAATTGTTTGACGAAAGGAATTTATGCTAATGAGATTACCATCTTTGCCAAGTCTTATTGAAGGGGTAGCTCTCACATTTGTTTTGTGTCTCCTTTGACAAAGTTTTAGATAGAAACTAAACCTGGGAGAAAATTTATTTCGTCATTCTTTCGTTGAATTGTCACTCATCATCAGCCCTCTGCTAACTTGGCAATTGCCAAATTTGTCAAAAGCAATCTATCGTGGGATCAGTCAATTTTCATGTATGACAATATGACCACTATTTAAATTTTCTTGAATTTACTAGAATTACTAATTATGCATTATGTCCTTGAATGACGAATCCATTAAAGACAATCTGTACTCATCTTTCTTTTAACTAACAACAGAGAAATCACTCTCCACACAAGTAGTACCAGGATATACACTAGCAAAGTTTTTTGGAAAATCAACTTTCAAAAGTAATCTATGCTTCATGAAATTTGACCTATTCTTGCATTTGATACACTATTTTGTGTAGTACATTTTCTCTCTTCCTTGATTAATGGAAATATTCTCAACTTTGGGATCATATAAAAGATGGTAGAATTGTGTCAAAAGTGTTTACGTTGATATCAAAATATAACTAATCACTAGATCCAACAAGATGGACATGAATAGTATTCACAAAAGCAGTAGTTTCAAAGAAAATTCGTTTGTCGTCTAGTTACAGAGCACGATAGTCACTCCACTTCGTCAAGTGTTGGCTTTCAATATGCTTTGAGTACAGCTCTGTCGATATGAAACCTTCAATTTTGTGGTTCTAGCTTGCTTGCAATTCTGTCCGACTTTTTTTTCAGACCCATATTTGACAAAAGCGACACAAAACCTACGTAACGATACCAAACGTTGGTCTTCCCGTGAAGATATTTAGTCCATACTCAAGTTCGTGAGAGACATTAAATGTCGTTTTGAGCTTTTTTAACGACATTTCATAAACAACAACCTGTCACGAGCCCACGTGGACTGGGACTTCCCTCTTATATATGACAAATATGGCAGGAGCATCTACAAATGCCATATTTGAAGAGGCCTGCTCATCATATGAATTCGCGTTATCAACCGGCGTCATTTATTCATGTACATGAAATGCTTTTGAGAATGAAGTGGAGAATCAGATATGCCGATCAAGTCAGAGTCCTAGTCTATTACATCAACAAAGTTGCCTATTCTCAATATTCATAGTGTACTCTGCTTATAAAAGCTGATGGGTCGATACACAAAATTGTTGTTGCGGCTGTTCCAACTTGCCGTAGTGTATGCAACGGGCTTGCGTTCACACGGGCATGAATCATTATGTCATCACTGCTACAGTAAGTAATATTTCACTGTTTCACCTGAAATATTTTTATTCGAACTTCGAAAAACCTGATTAGCCCTTGGACTTTTATCATGTATAACGAAAATGTTATCGGCCAAACTCCCTGTAGTGCTCGCGGAAAGTATGAAAATACACTCATTAAGTTAGTTTGACACAAAATTCCCGCTCTACTAACTCCTGGTAGAGAAATTTAACCCCAAATAGAACATACAGAAATTTCCGCTCGTTTTGGACTCGCTGCTTGAGACGCACGGGCACTTGCACTCCAGCAATTTTGATCATCTCTTCCGCGGGGTCGATGTGAACACTCCAGCCATCGTCGATGGTGTAGATGTCCTCCAGAACGTCCGAACGAGGAGCTCGCTCTTCTCGCGGCTCCTTGCTCCTCCTCTTGCCCTTGTACTTCTCCCTTCCCGTGCCCACGGAAGGAGCGTCCGCAGCTGCGCAGCTCTGATCGACGGGGAAGCTGCGAATGATGAGAATTCCAGGTTCCATTCGCCAGGCCTGTGCTCTGAAGCTGTGATCACTCCGCCGTCACCATTGTTCGGCAATTTGTGTTACCGAGTCCATCGGATTTTCTCCCCCGAGTGCTTTCCGAGAACATTCTTTTTAAAAACAAATACACGTTCAGATATAAAAACATGTTCAGATTATAACATGTACTAGAGCTCATCGAGGACCATTCTAAAACGAAACATGATAGATCTCTTCGAGGAAGTATAGGTTATTGATGTGATACAACCAGGTAGTATATTCTTGATCTGATCCATCAAGCAATGTCCTCTTCAGTATGTGGTCAATATTGTGTTTAGGTGGGTAAAATTGTTAATTTTGATCCCAGTGTGGCAATTCTAATACAAGATTGAGGCAGAGCATGGGCTATACTTCGTGCTTTCCAGGTCAGTTCCAGACACGCGTAGGATAAATCTACGAGTGTCTAATTCTTGAGTGAGATACTTTCTTCGTGTCTAGTGGGGTTTGTGCCTACACAACAGTTCGTTTCTGTTCATATCAATTTAGGAAGAAAGTTCTGCCACGTCCAAACAAGTCTTGAGAATTTGAAGATTATGATAGCAGCTGCATTTTGTAGATTTCATCTTTTCCAAACTTTTCGGACTTTTCGGACGCAAAACTTGGTACGAAAGGGAGCCGCCACCCGAACCATTAACTTTCGTTTTACTTCCAAAATGACGGCTTCGAAACATCGAATATTCTACATCCAGCGTGCTTTTCCTCGAAACTTGTTAAGATCCTTCGAAACTTCTTGCTTCTTTAGGGGTCAGATGTGCATTGGTCAACAAACTCTACGCCAACTTTCCATACTCACTACGACGAGTGAAAATAGTTCTTCCCATCTTCTTTACTATATTACTAGGTTTAACTATACTACACGTTCCACTCCTTACAAGGGTTGATAGACCCTTGTACGATCTCATACTCGTACACTAACTATTTCATACTCATTCCGGTCAGATGTTGCCCATCGCATTGCAGGTAAGTTATTGTTCAAGTTCTAATCAAAGGTAGCAATGTGCCAGCCTCACTAAGTCAAAGCAACAAACCTGAAACTAAACATTCTGAACGACCTAAACAAATTTGGGACTGTAATTCCCCAGGAACAAGCCAAAACCAGTAAGCAAGATTTCAGACAAAATTTTCGACGAAGGAACGCGCGATTGAAAAATCTACAGGAAAAGAAGATCAAACGACAACCCAACGAAAACATGTACTACGATTTAGTTCAACGACAACTAACATGCGTGACACGACATATCTTGAGAATAAAACAAATAAGAGGCTTGAACTCTGACAATCGTATACTTGCACGAAATTGATGTGGTCCATACGAATTTGCAAATGCCAAATCAAGGTTATCTAGCAACATGCCTGCTTACTATACACAGGCAGTAACTACTGCGAGTTATAAAAAACACACAACCACCTCTCAAGTGACCACACTTTATTCCTCCAAATTCTGATCCAGAGTCGCATGTAATCAGTCCTCCTCCTCTGCCTCTTCCAGCCACTTCACAAAAGACTCGAGTCCTTTCACAAAAGTTTGCCTGTCAATACACAGAAATATTAGACTAAAGATTTGAACTTCTATGAACATCAAACGTTGCATAAATTGTCATGCAGTCACTGCATGTACAAGACTTAACATGGTTTCGGACTTGACTCTCGATTCCGAGTAGATTGTGGACCTAAGAGACCTAGGAGACAGTTTCTTGGAGAACGAATCATTACCTGCCCTTCGGATTGGTTCCCTTCCGGAACCACACAAGAACAGTATCCTCGGCAAGCACATCTTGATCGTAAAGTGCTCTAATGATTTCTGGAAAGAGTTTCATGAGTTTGGCATCCTCATAACAATGAATCTGGATCTTGTACATAAGATCCATTTCCAACTTTGCTGTCGTGCAGAATGTTCCCAGAAGCTTTCCCCATGTCTTCACCTGCATAGACAGAAAAGACATCAAATACCTGCCACTACAGTGATTGCAGCGACATCATCTCATAATCATGAGCATTGTTCAACGGATGTACCTGTCGAAGCGCAAGATTTGAATTTTGCTGCTGGTTTTTCCCAGACCACTGAACAGCATCCATGATAGCGTCCCAAATGGTGCGGACCACATCGACATCGGGCAAAGCACATTCCCTGCGCCGTTGCTTGACCATCTCCACAACCTCCGTAGGTTCAATGTTCTCCGCAATTTGATCCGTCAGCGTGGTTCTCAGTTCTTTCAGTTTGACATCGAAAACTTTCTTGGTATTATAATCCACAAGCACTCCCAAACCCTCCTTGCTGATGAAAAGTCAATTCGTTAAGTCAGTGAAGATAAGACAAATGAAAAAAACAAAACAGAATTCTGAGGTGGAAAGGTAAAAACATCTAATGACTTGGTCCCACCTGAAATGTTCCGCAAAAGCTTCGATTGTCCGCTTCTGCATTGGAAAAAAGTCCAGAAGTCTATCCTCCATCTTCGCGCGTTTGAGCAACCCAATAAGATCATCCAAGGTGTTGTCCACCAGGTACTCTTTGAAGGAGTCTGTTACAAAGCCCAACACCGTTCCTTTCGCAATCAAACTGTCACTTAAAAGAGCTGAGAAAATTGTTTCTGGTGGTAGACCTGATAATTTCTGTGAGAACGTGAGAGCAGTGAAAACGGCCAACTTCTTCCGGTCATCAGGTCCATAAAGCTCCTGCAGGCCACAAACAAGTCAATAAGTCATACTTTCAATCCAGGATATTATATATTGTGAAAATTTAAAAACCTTTCAGGAACTAGTGGAGTAAACCAGCAAGAACGAGTGTAGAGGGTTACCAAGGACTGTAGGAGCCTGCGCATCACATTTTCAAGATTCTTGATCATGAAAGGACGCCGTCTGATGATTTTTTGAATATAGAGTACAATTGGCAGAATGCCCTGCCGGGTCGCCTCACAATTTAACACAGAGTATGGCTGTCGTTCACCCTCCTCTGGCTTGGTTGTACCAGGCTGGTTCCGGCCTCCCGTGAACACAACCTGCGCAAGTCAAAATAACACGCCCCGTGATGAGTACGAAAAATATAATTGTTCCTTGTTTCTTCCCCGTGTACGTTCAGGCAGAACTCGTGACCTACTAGAGACAGAAAGATTAGTCAAGGAGGAAATAATCACCCACAAGGAAAAGATACAACTGAGATCACAGAACACTGAGTTACGGAGCGGATGAAGAACTGTGACAGTTCGACTACGGAAGTACACAATTATGTCCATAATTCCATTTTTCAAACACGGAGTCAGGACGCAATAAAATAAGTCACAAACTGTCGGGTATACGGATCAACAATGGACTCGCAATTTAACCAAAAATTAACTTCCGAGTAATAAAGAAATAGGTGCTTGAAGTATTGGCTCTTTCTCACTCTTCAATTCTTTAAAATCGCTAACTAGAACAGACAATAATTTCCACGAAGATATATAACGTAGTTCTCCTTACATTCGGTAATATATTGCAGAGAAGGCCTCAGTTTGTCACAATGTTTCTCATCCAGATGATCAGGCATTGTCAGGTGTAATGTACATCAATGGCCAATTCGCACACTCGTGTATTGCGTTGTACGGACTAACTGGCCGATACAAAGAGTGAAAGAAGAGGTCTCAGCGGTGCGGAGCAACCTAGGCCTCAGTTTGTTCGTACTATATCTCATCACATGGATCAGGCATTGTCAGGTGAACTGGACATCAATGGCCACTTCGCACTATCGTGTATATAACTGTACGGACTAACCAGACAATAAAAGTATAAAGTGCAAGGATCAGCGGAGCAGAGCAAGCTAGGCCTCAGTTGTTCGTACTATATCTCATCACATGGATCAGGCATTGTCAGGTGAACTGGACATCAATGGCCAATTCGCGCTATCGTGTACTGCAATGAACGGACTAAACAGACACACACGAAAAAGAGAAAGTGCAGGGATCAGCGGCGCGGAGCAAGCTGGGCCTCAGTTGTTCGTACTAGATCTCATCACATGGATCAGGCATTGTCAGGTGAACTGCACATCAGTGGCCAACTGTAGCTACGCTTACCCTGAACTTACCCTAAAACCGATTACAAAATTCAAAAGTGCATGACGAAAAAGACAAACAGCGGCGTGAGATGTGTAGCCTTCAACAAATCTCAAAGCATGAGCAAGAAAATACCTCGAAAAAAGTATCCCCATATCTGGAGAAGTCAAGGTCAGACGCCTCGACATCCTTGGCGATGAGTTCCTACACACGGCAACAGAGATAAGACTACTGGAAGGCTGTCTTTAATTCAAAAGAAAGCACATCTTCAAGGCACCAGATAAAATGCAGCGTCAATGTCGGCATAGTTACCAAGTCACCCTGGTGCTCGAGGTAAATTTGTACAACTGCATCCGCAAAACTGGATGGATCTAACGGAACAGCTATGTTCCGTTTGCGGGTCTTGATCCGCGTGCCACTGAAAACAACCAAGGAAAGGAGAAGGATCCATCAGACACTACAAGTGCGTACCCAATGGCGTACCTCATGGGCATTTTAAAGAAGGCAGACTGGAGGTGCAAAACGCAGCAATTATTGATGCAAGATGAGACACTTAAAAGATTTACTATCGAGTGACTCACCCAAGAGTCGGCTTCTCCTTCGAGCTGCAAAGGAAAATGAAACCATTCCACAATTAGAACAAGCCGAGCTCGAACCATCTCGATCCTCCACAAACGTAAAAATCACAAAGTTTTGTAACGACGGGCGCAGAGAGGACGGAGAAAGAAGTTTAACGGTCACACTAAACGATAATAGCAAAGCTACATTAAAGATGCGGAAACAATTAGAGAAAAAAATCAGCAGAGGTGGCAATCAAAGAAATTGTGGTCATCCATCTATGTCACAAAAAATCGCACTAAATAGTAGGGGTAGCGAATGTAGTAGATGCTATGTTCAAGAGAACCTTGAGTCACGTTCAAACCGACTTCGAGTCCCAAGAGCAACCACGTGCACGGGACGCACATGACGAAAGGAACGGTAACCGCCTTACCCTTCGCACATAGGGCAACCCCTTCTAAAAGATTTGGACAACAGTACTTCGTATGACACTGACATATCTGACATCCCCGGGTCATCTGATGAGAGCAGTAGAATTAAGGTTTGAAAACGATTATTCGTTGTCGTGTGAACGACAACAAGAACCAACCCCTCGGTTTGCACGGCACGCGGAGGCCTCACAAGAAAAGTTCATATACTAATGCTGCACTCGGTTTAGATACCAGGTGAGGACTGTCAAGTGTCGAGACCTAAAGATCAGGAAGCGGAGGAGAAGGACAGCTAACTCTTCCTCAGCATCCGCAAAGCGGCTTCCCAGGAGCTGCGGGTACAAGTGCCCACATGCAACAACATATGTTGCCCCAAACGACGAAGCGAAGATCGTTGCCATGGTCACAGACGCTGAACAGTACCGTACGGCGACCTAAAGCCCGATGATCCAAGCGATACAGCGGATAATCGGGAGGACCTATCCCAAGGTTAGTGGTGACAAAGCCATTTTCATGTGACCTACGTCCTCGTCTACAACCAAAGAAGGACATTGAAAGCAGGACAGTATCGAAACTCCTGGTTAAAAACCTAAGACGCAATGTCACTTACAGCATCGGATAAGGCCAACTAAAACCCCCACACGTGACTTAACCAGGCTTCGACGGCAAAGATCGGTAACGATTCACAGGAACGATACTGAACCATAAGCTCGTCACCGACGGAAACATGCAGGAAACAGAGAAGCGGCTGCCCCGTGTGATGATTTGAGGCAACACAAAAGAGCGAAGGACCACCGCAGGGTTCGCGACGATCATGAAGCCCACAGGAGCGGTGCTAAGGAAGGTATACATTGCAAACCACTCTGGCCAGGACGGAACCCGATGCCTGCCACGAGCGCGGCCAACTCAAGGAGCAAAAACCCACCATAGCGAATCCCGGTCATGAGACATGTCATGCAACTGCCAATCGACTTCAGCAACGATCCTCGAACACCGCAGCACAGAGACACAATACAACAATCGAGACAATAAAGAAACAGGTTCCCGTACCTCATAAACTGAAACGGGCGAGATCTAAGGTACTTGCGAAAGTCTGCAACCTCCAAACGGGGAAGCTCTTAAGCTCGCCTCCTATCCCGCTCTCCTTCTACGCGATCTGTACTATACAGCCTGCAGATCTGAAGGATCTGACGCTAGAACACGAGAGCCTGCAGGTGTGGGCGAGCTCTTACCAATCTCTTCCTCTCTCTCTCCCTCTCTCTCCGTGTGCGAGGTCTGTGCAGGCAGATTACAAGGTCGGGAACGGGAAATACTTCGATGCTCCAAACGGAACAAGAGAAAGAGAGGAGACGAGACGAAAGAGGAATGAGGCAGGCCCCGTGGAGCAGAAAAGGTAAAGAGATTAGGGTGCCAACAATGACAATGTCAATGCCATTGTCAAGTCGAAGTGAAGCGGCGGCTTTCTACCGCAACCATCCATCCACAACACAGCACATCACACGAACACCCCCCCATCATTCAATCCATCCATCCATCCTGATCCCATCGCATCGCATCGCATGCATCCATCATCGACTCCTTCCCAGATTTCCACATGGTACCGACCCGATGCTTTTCACCGCCGCTCCCTTTTTTTACCGCCTCTTGAAAGCTTAGCAAAATCCCACTAAATCCCACTAATCCCCCGAAACTTTTGTTTCGATACACATTCCTTCCCTCAACGTTCAGCTCATAATTTATTGCAAGCGTATAGTTTTTCTCGTATTTACCAAATTATGAGCAACAGTTGTTTCAAAAATTTCAGCGGTTGTAAATTACAGTTCTTAAATGAAAGCCACGCAAACCACTGCAGGTCATTCCAGATATCTTTGTATACCCGTCCTAATGAAATGTATACCCGTACTAATCAATCGTTCATTTTTGCAATAATAAAATAAAAAGTGACAAGCCAACGACCTCCCGGGTGAATGATTTCTCGCAAAAATGTACCATTTCTCGTGTATCTTAATGTCGCAAAAGATTAACTATTTTCCTGAGCCTTTTCCCCTATTTCTTTGCGCAACTGCTCAATATTTGTTTTCAAAACGCCCCAGTTCATTTCCTTTCCAATACATTCCAACCAAAATTCTTAATCCTTCCATTCATCAAGAAGATGCATATCATTCTTCATATCTCAATTCATGTGCTCTCTATACAAGTAGCTGCCAAATAAATGATTCATATCCTTCATAGCATTACAATTTGTATCCCAAGATCAAATTTGTAACAACAGTTTGATGATTTTTTTCTACTGAAACTCAACGATATTGATCATTATTACCAACCTAGAATTATGGTATTCAAATCAAGTATTTGCCGATATGAATCAGCTAGTTTGGAGAAAAGAGTGACAAATTTACAGAAATTATAACAGCTCGAATCAAATGAAACAGGCAGCCAGAATTGTTATAATGTACATTCCAAACAAGTTAACCCGTAGTGTATAAAGTATCGCCAGCATTTTATTTTTTTAGAGTAACAGAGCGAATATTATATTTCATAATTCATCTTCAAAGTCAATTAAATTTATAATTGACATGTAATCTAAATATTGAGTTCAATTAATTATGCTACAAAATATTATCTCTATGTTTTGGAGATCTTTCATTGTAAAATAACAGTTTACAGAGATAATAACACACTAACATATCTAATTTCATGTTTTCTGAACAAGAAGTTGAGAACTGGACAAATGTTCAGTATTAAGCTAGAATGAATTAAAGATTTTGTAAACGATGTTTTTTTAAGCCCACAATTTGTTTGATATAAATACATTTTATTCAACTTAAATGCTCTACAAATTGCTATATGTAGATGTTTATGATTTTTTTATACTTATAATCACACACAGAATCATAAGTTTAAGAAAATACATACAAAAAAGTATAAATTATTTTAATTGGATTTTAAATAAACATTCACAACAAACTTGATAAAATATAAAAACATGCAAAATTTATATTTTTCCAAACCAAGTCTTAAGTTATGCATAGCAAGTCTGAAGTCTGAAGTTGTGCATAGCAATCTTGATTTTTTATTAAAGTTCACAAAAATTGATAACAAATAAATACATAGATTATTATTTTTTCCAAACCAAGTCTGAAGTCATTATTTTGCATAGTAATTTTGAATTTTTTTTTAATTTAGGTCTTTCATATTAGTAAAGTAGTGCATAGTTATATTCATTTAAATAATTTAAAACTAATATCTACAGTTATATATTTTTACCAAAAAAACGAATTAAGGCTGATCATTATTTGATTTCACTAAGATGTTTCTTTCTTCATTGAAATAATCCAATTAAAAGACTATTTATGTTTGAAATTTGCCTAGAATGAAAAAAATGTATGATATACATATTTCAAATGACTTTCAGTTTCAGTAAACATGAAATGCATGAGTTCTTAAAACTCAAAAAAATCAGTATATGTCAACTGCCATGTATACACACTACAAGGTAGAAGCTAGACACTTTTGCTCAAATTTTGATAATAAAAAACAAATTTTTTCCAAAATAAATATTATGTGATAATAATGAATAAACCTTTTGTATACTCATAGCATACATTCATGTTATGTAGGTGAATAAGGCAATTAAAAATTATATTTTAACAACAAGTTTAGTAAAAACCGTTTACTGTTCATCTTATCAAAGAATGATAAGATGAATATAAATTACAAAGTCTCCTAACAATTCAATACGTTTGTTCATTCTAGCAGCATATCATAATTTTATTTTGATATTTTATGATAGAGTGATTGCAATGAAAATCAAACATGCAGTAATCAATTTAAATTATACATATTGATTGATTGATTGATTTGTATTCCTATTTTATAAGTCATACACAAGGTAATTCATATACACTATTGCTCAATGCAAAGAAATCAAACTTTGAAGGTCATGGATTTATTCAAAACACATAATTTAGCATATTAAGTTTGTGACTATAATCATGTATGGTGAGTTTCATGGTATTTTATCAGACATGTTAGAAGAAGGATAATGATTATTAAACAAAGTTTAAAAGAATTAAATTAAATCATTAAATTACATCAGAAAGCATTGAACATATGTCAATATGTATATGAAAAAAATAATTTTTATTCATTTCAAAATTTACAAGTCTTGAAATTTTATCACATAAAGACTATCATAAAGTAGATGTATAGAGAATAAAAATGATTTAAATTTTCCAAAAAATACATAGAATTTTAAATTGAGTACATATTGCAAATAAGTTGGATAAAACAATTATTGATGTATTATTATCTATATAGAAATCTAAAATTATTTCAAACCAACATTGTATTTCATGTGTACATTTTATTCAACACTGTTAAAAGTGTTGAATAAAATGTTATAGCTACTTTGAAAATAATAATAATAATAAATATGAATTTAATTATTATTTTTATCTGTAAATATACAAGTATGTTAATAAATTATTTTATTATATATGTATAATCAAACTTACTTAGCACACATGAAAATCAATCATTCACTAATTGATATGTGATCAATCAATTTAAATCAAATTTCAAAAATTAAACAGTTTAAATAGAAGCATGTTAATTAATTTATAATAATATATAATAACTTTGAATTAAACCTCAACTATAAAAAAATCCATAATCTATTCAATTTATTCTATATTTTAAAATAAAATGATTCTAAATAGCAAAAAATAATAAAATATCCTTATCATAATAAACTAATACAAAATTTGTTGAAGAGATTTCTTTAGGATTGCATATAACATAAAATTTATTGAAAAAAATAAGAGTTAAGTGCTTTAATTTTCATTTGTTGATAACATATCAATATTTTTGTAGATCTACGCATAAAACTCATGTATACATACTGGATATATTCAAAATCTTGAGTAAAATTGTATTTGTATTCACATTATTATCTGTGCACTTACTAATTTGTTCATTTGTTTACAATCATATGTGTTAGAAGTTAATTAAAAAGTTAAATTTACGAAAGTTTACTAAATTCCAATTAGTTAAGTTGCAATTAAATAAGAGGTTTAACCAAAACTTCCAATGATGTTTTTATAATTTTGTTTAAAATATAGTTGGAAGTGAATTCATGAACAAATAATGCAGCAATTAATCATTTATTTTTAGTTTTTGTAGCATTTTGCATTTTATTCTTATGTTATTTGTTATTGTGATATCTAATTGAAGTATGCATATATCTTACATTTGAATTATGTTCAAATTTTGAGATTTTTTAATATAACGGATATAAAAATGATGTATCAATATGAGTGAAGATTTTGATGACAAAATTATGATTATAATACAACAATAGAAGTGAGAAAAATATCACTTGTGGAGATTTGATGCAAGATGACTTCATTGGAAGTGATGAAATGAACATAATAGAAGATTGATATGGACATTTAAATTTGACGAGTAAGTCAATACTTTTTTCTCTTTGCAAATCTACCATCTACTGACATGTTGCAAGCACAATGTTGAAGATTTGTCTTCTTAAATATGCTTATCAACCAAAGTTGAAAATTTTGCCATGTATAGTGAAGTGAAGTGTGTTTGTTAATCAAACTTGAATATTTATTAATATTTGATGCAAAATATACATTCAAATCAAAAAGTGAATAAATATGGAGATTTTTATTTTTTATAAATCAAATTATCAAATTATTGATATTTTTTAAAGAATTATTCTTTTCATAAATTCAATATTTTATAAATCTGTATTTAAGATTTAAGTTAAATAGAGTTCATGAACATTTTTTTGATGTTTTAGTTTTTGTAAGTAACCATTTTTGTATTTTCAGGTGTGTAAAATATAGTGACAAATCACATATTTATGAATTGACATATGTGATTGTGTGTTTTTTACTTTATTTGTGATTTTGAAAATTGTGTAGTTAAATAAACGCTAATTTTTTAAAAATTATGAGTTGAAATGCAACAAACATCAAAATGTTGACTCACGGAGTCATAGCTTGAATCACAAAATGATAATGGAGTATGTGATGTGCAAGATGAACAAACACACAAATAAATTATTAAAATATGACGTGTAGTGTATCTCATATCAGGATTTTGGCTTGTTTGAAATTTCAATTGTCGATACATATATAAAAGTTACATTGCATGACTTTTGTCACAAATCTTCAAGATTGTGCTATTGCCGCGTGGCAATGCACACAATTTTAGCTTCATTTAAAATATATGTGATTTTGAATGTATCAAGTAGATTTAGTTGTATATTGAAGATTGATACTTTGATGAATTGTAACCTAAAAATCATAATGATTTGTATGCATTAGTTTTCTTATGAGTCAATTTTCAATAAAAACAAAAGATGTTAAGATTTTTAATAACTTACTGTTTTTTCTTG